GACCTAACATTCAGTAATTGGTGTACCTCTTATCCATTATCTTTTCAATTCCTCTAACAAGGAGTATTTAGAATTATTTGCTTTATGCTGCTATTTATTTCAGTTTGAATATGGGGATATTTGCTTGTTACGACTATAAGATATATGAGAAAAATTGCTCTATGAATTGTTAGAATAAATTAATACACATATATCATTTTTGTAAACTTCCTCAGATGCACATTTCATGCTTTGTGCTGTGATAATTCTAGGTGAGCTTTCCTAGGTAAGTCTTTGGTTTTTAAAAAATTATCTAATTTATGTATTTCTCCTTCCCATTTGTTAAAAGCTATTTCTCTTACACATTAAAAATTAATAAGTGTTTATTTTAGTATTTCATACTGCCTCCTTTTCCCTGTACCACATTCCCTATCTCCTGATTCTGTTCTGTTTTCTTTTATATCATCTTTTTAACATAGAAATCATTGATTAATTTATTATATTATGTATATTGTTTTTTTGTTCATTGGTGATCCTCAGCAACTACAACAGTTCCTGAAACATACTAGTAATTATTACCCGAGGTGATATAAAGGGTTTGCTTTTCAAGTTTACCCTGTCTTAACTTTTATTTTACTTTAAACAAACATATAGATTTGTATTTTTCACATTGGTATTATACATTTTATATAACATAAATGATAATTTTATAATCTTCTATTTTCAGATATTTATACTTATTTCATAGCTTGTTATAAAATTCTGAAAAGATTCTCAAAGTTCACTGAAATTATATGTGAATATATACTATAGTAAAGATGTGGAGGGAATGGATGTTTAAAAATCAAGCAAGCAATGAGAAAAGTGATCACTGCTAGAAAATCTTTTGTCCTAGGTATTGATATTTTAATTTACTTAATCACATTGGCCTTTTTGGAGCCAATGTTAATTGAATTCCTTTCTTCCTTTGAAAAACAGATGAAATCATAGAGCTATATGAAAGTTAGAAGTTGTAAAAATGGAAGAGTAAGGATAATTTGCATGTGTTTATAACTGTCTGATTGCCTTAAATGAGTGATCATAGTCAAACTTACGCACCTTTTTCCCCTTTAGACAGTGGGCAAGTCATTCTCAACAAATACTGGTTAAGAATGACATAAACAGTATGATGTCTGTGTTTGCATGAGCTGTCTAGTACCAGGTTAGCTGACTAAAGTTTAGTGAGAGCTCTAGTCTGCTATTCACTCTAATTCTGGTTAGCAGAAATTTCTAGGTATTATAATGATACCTAGCCTATGAAAGTATAATCAAATACGTAGTTTGAAGGGAAAAAGAAAACTTTCTTTTGGGGACAGAAAGTCACCCAGGGTCTTCTTACACCAAGAAATAGTCACACGGTCTCCATTCCAAAGGAATGTCAATTACCTGAGGTTGAAAGTGTCCAAAAACCAGAAGTAACAAAAAAAAGTAACTCCCAGTACCATAGCAATTACTTAACCCATAGCATCCAGAATAATTAAACCACGTTAGACTTTCTATCCAGTGGTTAATTACTAAAAGCAGCTCAGCATCCAAGAAGGTGCACACGTGGCAGTAAAGAAATGTCTCTTTGTCGTTTATGATTTGTCCTGAATGCTTTAAGAGCAGATCTGTTGGTGGGCCTTGTGTTCTTTTTGACTGGCCTAGCAGGTTCTGTATCGCAGATGAGGTGCTTTAAACCCAAAAGTGGACCCTATTACATACACTGAAAAAGAATAATATAAAATCCTATGAAAATATCCACAACTACAAACACCACTTTTTAGGATTTCTTGAAAAAATTCTTTAATGGCAATAGAATGTTTTCACATACAGGTCCAAAAATAAATTTTAACCTTATTGCCCTTCCTTTACTTGTTTTTATTCACTTTGTCATTCTGTTATGTGTTAAAAATCTGTTTCTTTTTAATTTCATGATTGTTATTCAGTTACTCAATTTAATGCCATTTAATTTTCTTATAAGAATTTTCTTATAAAAATGATTTTCTTAAAATACAATTTTCTTAGCCCTGGCTGGCATAGCTCAGTGGATTGAGCGCGAGCTGCGAACCAAAGTGTCGCAGGTTCAATTCCCAGTCAGGGTACATGCTTGGGTTGCAGGCCATGACCCCCAGCAACCGCACATTGATGTTTCTCTCTCTCTCTCTCTCTCCCTCCCTTCCCTCTCCAAAAATAAATAAATAAAATCTTTAAAAAACAATTTTCTTATTAAAACACAAATTTTTAGGATTTAAGAATTATAGCTGCTTTCATAGGCCAAAATCAAATGTGTGAAAAAGCACCTTTTTTGTTCAAATTGAAGTAAAATTGACATATAACATTATTAGTTTCATGTATACAAAATAATGTTCAATATTTATGTATTTGGAGAAATGATCACCGTATCAAGTCTAGTTATTTGTCACCACATATAGTTACAAAATTGTTTTTCATGTGATAAGGACTTTTAAGATCTACTCTTAGCGAGTTTCAAATAAGAATATAGTATTATTAAAAATAGTCAACATGCTGTACTTTACATCCTCATGACTTATTTATTCTATAGCTGGAAGTTTGTACCTTTTGAGTCCCTTCATCCATTTTATATATACACACACACCCTAACACAGGGATTTTCTCTGTATTTATAAACTTGGTTTTTTGTTTCCAAATATGAGATCATACAGTATTTGTCTTTCTTTTTCTGACTTATTTCACTTAGCATAATGCCTTCAAGGTCTAAACATTTTGTTGCAATTATAAGATTTCATTTTTAATGGCAGAATAGTATTTCATTGTGTGTATGTGTTGCAAATAATATCTTTGTCCATTTAGTCATAGGTGGACACTTAGGTTGTTTTCATATTTTAGCTATTGTAAATAATACTGCAGTGAAGTTGGCAGTACATATATAGTTTTTAAGGTGTTTTCATTTTGTTCATATAAATACCCAGAAGTGGGATTGCTGAATCATGTAGTGGTACTATTTTTAATTTTTTGAGGAACCTCCTTATTCTTTTCCAAAGTGGCTGCACCAATTTACATCTCTACCAATATCCACAAGGGTTACCTTTCCTCCACATCCTCACCAGCATTTATTTTTTGTCTTTTTAATAATATTCCTTCTAACAGGTGTGAGGTGATAATCTCATTTTGTTTTTTACTTCCATTTCCCTTATGATTAGTGATGTTGAACATCTTTTCATGTACCTGTTGGCCATCTGTATGTTTTCTTTGGAAAAATGTCCATTTTCAGAGCCTCTGCCAATTTTTAACTGGATTGTTTGCTTGGTTGTTTGTTTTTGCTATTGAGTTGTATGAATTTATTTATTTTGTGTATTAACCCCTTATCAGATATATGATTTGCAAATATTTTCTCTCACTCAGTAGGTTGCCTTTTCATTTTACAGATGTTTTCCTTTGCTCTGCAGAAGCCTTTTTGTTGATGTAGTCTTGCTTCTTTGTTTTTGCCTTTGCTCTTGGTGTCAGAACCGAAACAGTCATTGCCAAGACCAGTCAGTGTCAAGGAGGTTTTATGCCTGTGTTTTCTTCTAGGAGTTTATGGTTTCTGGTCTTACATTCAGGTCTTTAATCCATTTTGAATTAATTTTTGTATATGGTGTGTGATAGTAGTCTGGTTTCATTTTTTTGTGTAAGGCTGTCCAGCTTCCCCAACATCATTTGTCGAGGAGACTGTCATATTTTCATTGTATATTCTTGTCTTTTTTGTTGTAAATCAATTGACCATATATGTGTGGCTTGATTTCTGGGTTCTTTATAGTGTTTCATGGATTTACATGTCTTTTTTTTTTTTTTAAAGCAATACCATCCTGTTTTGATTACTATAGCTTTGCTATAGAAAAGGTAGTTTTAAAGTCATCTAATCCAATACTCTCCTTTCATTTTTGAGGAACTGAGGTACCCAGAAAAGTTATCCAAGGTTACAGTACTACTTAGCAGGAGAGTGGGAACTAGGACCAGGTTATCTAACTTCCAGTCTAATTTCTGTTCATTGTAACTGATTTCCCCTTTTGGAGCTCATGGCCAGGATGTAGTTGGGACTCTCTAGCTGCCTATTATAGTATTCTTAGTGGATCATGGCCATTGAATTGAATCTGTTTTTCTGGGCTCACATCTCTGGCCCCTTACTCAGCTGGGTGTTGTTGCTTCTCAAGTAGGAGACATGACTACAGAGAGATTCAGCTGGTAGCTTTACCTCATCCACTGACCATTGTAACCTTCATCTTCAACTTTACAGAATTATCTACCAATGAACGGATAAATTTCCCATGACCTATTTGTTTCTCTGTTTTGGGACCCAAGAACTGAAATACTAAGGGCAGTTATGTGAAAGTAAATGTACAAGTTTTATTCATTCCTCCTCTTAAAAGAACCTTTTCTGGCTTCCTTTTCTTGTGTAAATCATGACTTTTTAGTATTACTTAAGGTGATTTATTTGGTTGACAATTATTTGGAAAATCCTCTAGTCCCAGGCAAACTGGAGCAGTTGGTAATGCTAGTAATTATGTGCCAAAATTATACATGTGTGTATACACACACAAAAACACACACATATATACACACATAAATGTGTATATATGTATATCAGAGAAAAAGTTTACTCATGTCAATGAATAAAGTAACTTTTTCCTTCCATTTTGAAAAAACAAACTTTTTACAGCTGATGTTAGATTTGGGTAATGAACACACAGTACAATGTACAGATGATGTATTATAAAATTGTGCACCTGAAACCTGTATACTTTTGTTAACCAGTGTCCCTCCAATAGATTCTAAATAAATTCATAGATAACACTGCATTTTTTTTAACTTTCAGCTTGTGTAGGAGAAATGCAGTTCTTTGTCCATAAAAAAAGCATACCTCCACTCTGTCATTTGAGAGAACAATTTGTACTTTATTAAACAGATTATTATAATAAATATTTTTCACCTTTTCTTAGTTTTACAGTTCCTAATATTGGTATGATTAATTTTTTTTGTAGGTTTTCTTTGGGTGATGCTAGGAAGCCTCTTCATGAAACAGCAGTTTTGGTAGAAGATGTGGTACACACTCAGTTAATTAATCTGGTAAGAGCATATATAATGTTATTTGATACTTATCCTCTGCATTCTGTTTATGTTGGGATCGCAGCCCAACTCTGTTTTCTTTAAAGATTATGTTTACATTCAGAATTTTTTTGTCATCTTATTGAGGTATAGTTTACATATAACAAAATTTAACCAGTTTCAGTGCATAGTTCAGTGAGCTTTGACAACTTATTGTCATGTGACTACCAGCACAGTCATGATATAGGCACTTTCTTCATCACAAAACATTCCCATGTGCTGCCTGTGCCACCTGTGCAAATTAGTTTTTTCACTCACTCTCTAACACTCAGTGAAAGGTTTTGTAATCTGTATTCTATCACTATATAAGCATTGTTTTTCTAGAACTCTTTTAAAAATGTTTTTATTATGAATTTTAGACATCAAAATACTGCACAAATAGTACAGAGAATTCCTAGATACTCCTCAACTTCCTCTGTTAACATCTGACATAAATGTAGTATAGTTATCACAACCAGGAAATAATATGGATACACTACTGTTAAAATCATCAACCATGTTTGAATTTCACCAGTTGTCCCATTAATGACCTTTCCTGTTCCAGGAGTCAGTCCAGGATAAAATACTGTAGTTAGTTACCATGCCTTTGTCGTCTTCGTAGTCTTCTCTGATCTATTGTAGTTCCTCATGTCTTGTCAAGGTCATTTCTTGTCTTTCATGACCTTGGAACTTTTGAAAAGTACCAGGCAGTTATATTATAGAATGCTCTTCTTTTGCAGTTGGTCTGATGTTTTCTTATGATTAGAATGTGGCTCTGCTTTTAGGGGAAGAATACCATAGAAGTTACAGATCTTTCTAAGTATATTGTATGAAGAGGTTTATATTGTTAATATATGTCTTATTTGTGACTTGGTTAAGGTAGTATATGCTGAATTTGTTTCACTATAATAAAGTTACTTTTTAAATTTTGTTGTTAATAAGCACCTTATGAGAGATATTTTGTGACTCTGCAAATATTGTTCTCTGAAAATTTTTGCCCATAAATTTTAACATTAATTGGTATATTTTGTTAGAGACCACTATTCCTGTGTATTTGCCTAATAGTGATTTTCTATCCTTTTTTACTTTTCAGTTTTTTAATTCCAATTATCCTGAAAGGAGTAGCTATCCTTTTTTTTTAAGAGTTATTTATTTGTTTATTTATTTATTTATAGGGGAAGGGAGGGAGAAAGAGAGAGAGAAACATCAATATGTGGTTGCCTCTCACGTGGCTCCCACTGAGGACCTGACCCACAACCCAGGCATGTACCCTGACTGGGAATTGAACTGGTGACCCTTTGGTTTGCAGCCCACGCTTAATCCACTGAGCTACACCAGCCAGGGCAGGAGTAGCTATCCTTTATCACCATTAATTTATTCAGTTTTTAGTGTGTCCGCATATATACGTGCATGCATATGTGCACATATATGTGTGCACATGCACACATGTGCGTGCACATATGTACACATGTGTGTGCATGTGCGTTTATAACACACACACTAATGCATACTTAAATTTCATTTTTAGGATCCTTTGCAGTAATATCATTATTTTTATTATTCATGTTGTACCAGTTATAGGAACTCTTATGTTCTCCCCATTTTTTTAATCAGGTTTTTGATCTTATGTTCAGTATATATTAAGGATATTAGTCCTTTGTTTGTAGTATATGTTAATACTATATTCTTATAGTGTTTTAGTTATCTTTTGACTTGTTTTTTTATTTTTAACATAGTCAAATGCATTATTAACTTACTACCTTTGGATTTTGAATCACAGAAAGACTCTCCCTTATACCAAATTCAAGAGGAAATCATTCATTCTTGCCTCCTAATATTTCTTTGGGTTTTCTTTTTAGCATTTAGATCCCTAATCCACCTGTAGATTATTCTTGTTATTGTGTAAGCAATGGATATAGTCTTTTCTCAAATGACTGCCCAATTATGCCATCACCCTTTATTAAAAAGTCTATTCTTTCCCTGATGATTTGAGATACCTCCTTTATCATATACTGAAGTAGCATATGCACTAGGGTATATTTCTGATTTTATATTTTATACCATTGGTTAATTTGTCTCTACATGTACTAATATGACATTTTTAATTATACAGGTTTTATGGTAATATTTTAAAGATTGTTACAGCTAGTATCACTTTGTAATTTTTCTCTCTCAGTGTGTTCTTGTATGTTTATTTTTCCATGTGAATATTAGTATTAAATTTTGTATATCTATAAAATAGCTTATTGGTATTTTTTATATTGCATGGATTTATAAATTTAGCAAGAACTACATCTTTAGAATGTTGAATCAATTTAAGAATAGGAGATGTCTTTATACTTTTTCAAGACTACTTGTGTCTTTCAGGAGTGTTTTAATGTTTTTCTTCTATAGGCTTCATATATTTCTTGTTAGATTTGTTCCTAAGTATAATGTTCTTTGTTGGTATTGCAAATGGGCTTTCTCTATCATTACCATCATAACTGAAAACTTCTGAAACTTACAGAAATACATAAGTCTACAGATTCAAGAATCTGAGCACACTCTAAACAGGGTAAACCCAAAGAAATGCATGTTCAAATTACTGAATACTAAAGTCGTAATATATCTGAAAACAGCCAGATTTTGTTTTACCATAGGGGAACAGTGATTTGAAACAGCAGAATTTTGGTTGGAAAATAAGGGGACTGAAAGGAAATGGTAGTTCTGTTTTTAGTATTTTGAAGACTGCCATACTGTTTTCCGTAGTGTTCATACCAATTTATGTTACTACTAACAGCACACAAGGATTCCCTCTTCTCCACATGTTCCCTAACACTTACTGTCTCATTGTCTATTTGATAATAGCCATTCTAACAGGTGTAGGGTGATAGGTGATATCTCTTTGTGCTTTTGACTTGCATTTTTCTGATGATTTGTGATGCTGAGCATCTTTTCATGTGCCTGTTAGCCATTTGTATATCTTCTTAGGAAAAATATTTATTTAGATCCTTTCCCATTTTTTAAGTTTGGCAACACTTTTATGTATGTGTTTTATTTGATTATTATTAAATCTCAGTGAGGAAAACAGAGTGGATATTATTATTCCTAATTTGAATGGCCAAATGAAGAAAGATAATTGGCCCAAAGTTACAAGCTTGTTAAGTGGTGGGAATGAAACAAGAATTGAGACTTCCTGACTCCCATCCTTTGTAATTTTAAAAATAATAATTATTATTATCAGTATTTTCCTATAGTGTTACATGAGATCCTTATAGATTTTGGATTTTAACCTCTTATCAGATATATGGCTTACTAATATTTTCTCCCATTTCATAGGTTGCCCTTCCATTTTATTGATTGTCACTTATTATTTGCTTGCAATAGCCTTTTAATTTGATCAAGTTTCAGTTGTTTGTTTTTGTATTTGTTACTTGTGCTTTTAGTGTCATAGCCAAAAAAATCATTGCCAAGACCAATGTCAAGGAGCTCTTTGCCTATTTTCTTCTAGGAATTTTACAGTTTTAGGTTTTACATGGAAGTCTTTAAGCCCATTTTGAGCTAATTTTTGTGAGTGGTGTACAATGAGGGCTCAGTTTCATGCTGTTGCATGCAAATACTCACTTTTCACACACCATTTAATGAGATTGTCTTTCCCCCAGTGAGTATTCTTGTCGCCATTGTGAAATATTAGTTGACCATATATACACATGGGTATATTGCTGGGGGTTTGATTCTGTTTCATTGGTTTGTGTGTGTTTTTATGCCAATACTATACTGTTTTGACTACTATAACTTTGCAGTATAGTTTGAAACAAAAAAGTGTGATGTTTTCCAGCTCTGTTCTTTCTCAAGTTTACTTTGGCTATTCAGGATCTTTTGTGATTCCGTATGAATTCTAGCATTCCATATGAATTCTGTGATTTTAAAGACTGTTCTGTTTCTGTGAAAAATGCCATTGGAATGTTAGTAGGGGTTAATTACATTGACTCTATAGATGGTTTTGTGTAGTACAGACATTTTAACAATGTTAAAATTATGTTAACATTTTAACAATGTTAATTCTTCCAATCTGTGGACACAGGATGTTTTTCCATTTATCTTCAATTGTCTTCCATTTTTTTCATTAACGTCTTATGTACAGTAGTTTTAAATGTATTTGATATTTCACTTCCTTAGTTAAATTATTCCTAAGTGTTTTTTTATGTTACTTTACATGTGATTGTTTTCATTTCTCTTTCAGAGAATTCATTCCTATTGTAAAAAGAAAAAATGCAGCTGATTTTGTATGTTGATTTTGTATTCGTCACCTTTATTGAATTTATTTTTAGTTCTAGCAGTTTTTTGGTGGAGTCATTAGGTTTTCTATACATAACATAAACTCATCTTCAGAGACAATTTTACATCCTCCTGTCCAATTTGGATACTTTTTATTTTTCTTGCCTAATTTTTTTGGGGGGGACAGGACTGCCAGTAGTATGTTGAATAGCAAGTAATGAAAAAGAGCACACACCACCTTGCTATGTTCTTGATCTTAGAGAAAAAGGGAAAGGTTTCACTCTTTTTCTCTTAAGTATTATATTAGTTATTGGTTTGTCATAGATGGCTTTTATTATATTGTGGTATATTCTGTACATCATTTGTTGTGAGCTTTTATCATTAAAGATTCTTGAATCTTGTGAAATGCTTTTTTTCTTCATCTGTTATGATCATATAATTTTATCCTTCTATTTATGCAGTATATCACACCTACTGAGTTGCATATATTGAACTATCCATGCATCCCAAGAATAAATTCAGATTGATCACAGTGTATGATTTTTTTAGTGTGCCATTGAATTTGGTTTGTCAGTATTTTGTTGAGAATCTTTGAATCTGTTATATGTCAGATATATTGGCCTATAATTTTCTTTTCTTGTAGTCTTCTTATCGTCTTCTTATCTGAATTTGGTATCATTGTAATGCTGGACTTGTAAATTGAGTTTGATAATATTCCCTCCTAT